TGTTTCCTGTTATATAAGACATAATAAAACAATTACATTTTGTAAATATGTGAACTGCACGAAAAACATGGGAAAATGAACAGGACATCTTTAAATATTATCATTTTTTTTGTACCTTTTTTTGTCACATGTTATCTGCTTTTTACCAAAAAACACTTTTGAATTAAAAATAAGTAATACAACTTCATTCCTGACATCAATTTGATACAAGAATGCAATAAAAGAACAAAGCAATCTGTTTTTAAACTGCTTAAAATTAAGCAATAATGACTAAGTGGTACTTTTCAATATTTTGGCGGCCATCTTGGACGCCATCTTGGATTTTCTCTGTTCGCCACCATTTATGCCAATTTATGCCGGCAGATTTGGAAACTACAAACATTTAGGAACATTTTGGTATACGACATGTCTTGTTAAAAAATGGGTCCGGGTAGCCCCTAAAAATAGGCTAGTTTTTTTGTATTTGTCACCCTACCAATAATACATAAGCATGTTTACACACTTGTAGATATATAGCTGTACCTGAAAAACACAAATGAAATGTAAAACTCGAATGCAGAAAATATAATTTAATAAAACGTGTTTCCAGTCGTAGAACTACACAGTACATTACACAGTTACATGTTAAAATGACAAAAGTAGAATCACAAAGTTAAAACCGATTTTAAGTCATGCATGACGACCACCGCCCCTCTCTGAGTATTTACGATCTTCTATCACCGAAAAGTACGGACAGGTATAATACCGTCGCTCTCTCCTATTTCTCAATAAAGTGAAGGAAAACACGGCGTCCATTCGTAACTTTTTTTTTATTTCTATAAAAAGTTCCAATATTATTGGTATCAAATGAAGATTATTTCCATAAGCTTTCTATGAGTGCCTCGGAAATAAAAATGAATTTAAAGATGTATTGAAATTTTTTGGGGTTTTTTTTACTCTGAAAATAACACTCTCGAATTGGTAAGAAAAACACGGCGTTCCCCCAAACTTTTTTTTTTTATTTCGTAATATATTTTGATAATTTTGGATTGAATAAAAGTGTGCTTAATACATTTATGATATATTAATTATTTAATACCGGTTTCAAAAATAAAAATGAATTAAATCAAAATGAATTAACTTTTTCGTTAAAAGTTTATCATGTTTACTTTCTGTAAAATAGAGAAAATAAGAATCCCTAAGAACGCTCAAACGACAAAATTGAGAATGTTGCAGGCCCGGTTTGATTGAGCCTGCTCATGGATGGTAATGGAAAGAGCAAGTTATCGTCCACGCCCTTAGCACCGGCTAAGCAAAATTTAACATGAATTGGTACAATTTTGAATTTTGAAACATCCGCAGATGTGTTAAAATATGGCGATTATCTTGAGAACTTTCAATGTGACCGTAAGTGCCAATACCATGAAAAACGGCATATGAATCCCAAGTAAAAAAAAAAATCGGAAACACACTATGAAATTCAGTAAGAGAAACATGGCGCCCCTACTTACTTTTTTTATTTCTTGGTCATTTTTGATAAATTTTAGAATATGATAAACAAGATCATCAAGGAAAGGCGCGCGTTGATAATTTTTAGACTCAAAGTAAAACATTCTGGAAACAAAGTGATCCTTCGGAAGCATTAATCACAACAAAATTACATAAGAATTGCAGATTCGGTTTGATTGAGTCCTGAAACATGAGGGATAATGAACAAGTGCAACATGCCTCACGCCCTAGCACCGGCTTGAACGGTACTCAATTCTCAACACTTAATAGCGCTGGCATCAATGATCCCGAAAGACCAGAAAATATAACAACACGGGGCAACTTTTTTACAGCTGCCACACGGCACTTGACACCTGCTGTATGTGAAGTATAAAAATCTGGAAAACAAACGTGATCCTCGGAAGCATAAATCAATCACTACAAAAATTACATAGTAAGAATTGCAGACCGGTTTTGATTGAGTCTGTACATGAGGGATAATGAAACAAGTGCAAAAAGTTTTTATTCATACTGAAAATACCTTATTAAAGATTGTACATATGTGCTACGGATAAGTATTTTCTTGATTTCGGAAAGGAAAAAAATATACTTGCATAGTTTTTTGTTGAAATGAAATTTGTGCCAATACATTTTTCAATATATACCAATAAGAATATTGGATGGTTTTTTACATTATCAATAAAATTACTCCTTGAAGTTGGTCATTGTTTCCCCTAAAAATTTCCAAATCGCCGATGTTTCTCAGGAATATATGATAAACAAGATCAACAAGGAAGGCGGCGCTCAATGAACGCAACCCCACATGACCCAGCAACAAGAAACAAGTGGCAAGAAGCCCAGGGGACCCAAAACAAAACACAGGACAGGGCACTAGGCAGAGCAGCGGACAGGCTAATCACTAAAATGATAATAATTTGTAACTGATAAGAAAACGATGTTAAATAATAAGGTAATGCATAAGTTATCTTCATCATAAATGGTAAAATCAGCAATTTTCAAGTGATGTTGCTAGTGACAAAACTTTTGTAAGAAATGTTATGAAAAATGCCGTATGTTGTCCTTCAGTTTTATTAAAAATATGGAAGAGGCGCCGTTTTATACCTGTTCCGCAATAGAAGTTCGTAAATACTCCGAGAGGGGCGGGGCGTTATGCTTGACTTAAAATCGTTTAACTTTGTGAATCTACTTTTTGTCATTTTTAAACATGTTACTGTGTTAACGTACTCTTGTAGTTCTACAACTGGTAACACGTTTTCTTAAACTCTATTTTCCGTATTTGAGTTTTACGTTTCATTTGTATATTTCAGATCTATAAGTGTGCAAACATGCATATGTATTGCATGCAATGGAAGATACGAACTTGTAAATTTGTTCTCGTTTTAGATGTTAGGTCAGTTGTTACGATATATATGTAAACTTGTTATATTAAGGCGGTAACCTTCAATTAAAAGATTGAATTAAGAGGTATACAATAAAAATGGTAGGCATGCAAGTTCGCATTTTCAAAAGTCATTTTAAAAAGGAACACTTTACATGTCTGGAATTTTGGCAACGAACGCCCTCCATAACCAACATCCCAGAAAAAAGGAATAACTAGTGCGACTTTAGAAACATCATGAGTCATGAAACATAATCTGTAAAAAAAAAACTTTCTTTAGTAAACTCTATATCGTTACTAACTCGACTGAATACACCTTAATAATCGTTATCTTATTCAATATCATAATTTAATCAAACAGTTAAGTATAGCAGGTAAAAATATTAACCCTTCCAAACACAAATTATTCTACGACGACATGAATAACTTTTGTTCTCATATTTATCTTGGTATATTAGTACGGATGAGCATAGAGGGGATATTTCGGTTTTTTTTCTTTTCCTTTATCGAGACCACGAGATATAACTCAGAAAATTAACAAAAAATGCTATCTCGTGGCTACGAGATTTAACTCAGAAAAAAGAACAACAGCAAATGACAAATATTTTCACTCAGATTTTTTTCCTCCAGTTAGCCGACCAATCAGATGAACATCTTAGTCGTGGTAACCAGTTAGCCGAGCAGTAAAATCGAAGATGCGTTCGAAAGATTTTTTTCTTAGTAATATCTCGTGGCTACGAGTTAGCCGACCAGTCATATGAACACATATTAGTCGTGGTAACGAGTTAGCCGACCAGTAAAATCATCGAAGATGCGTTCGAAAGATTTTTTTTCCTGAGTCAGGATCTCTGGCTACGAGATAGGGATTTTTTTTTTTTTATTTGGGGGGGGGGGGGGGGTCGTTGTTATTTTTTCTTAGTTATATCCCGTGGGACAGAGATAGCGTTTTGTTATTCTTTTCCCGATAAGAAACAAATCGGAATGTCCCCTCTGTGATTCCATAAATAAGCTATTTGCTAGATGACCAAGATTGTAAAATGGCCATCATATATTGGACCAAGGCAAAAAAAAAAAGAATGAATGTTTTGAGATGACAAGATGACATTTTATACTTTTTCGGAAGGGAGGGTGACAGGGATACAGTGTAAGATATAGTAAAAGCAAAGCAAAAGACATCGAATGATGTACATATCTAACCGTCTTTGTTATATTGTAGTCGAGTACGATATAATATTGCCTATAAGATCAATGATTTTAAATATAAAAAACCCTTTATTTATTTTAACTAGTGATGTTCGCCAATGATCAGAGCGACAATAATAGACTAACGTGAATCCGATTCGCGACGTCGTGGAAAATTTCTTACCATAACAAAAAAACAAAGATGAAAAAAAAATAATAAAAAATTACTGAATGTTCGTGTTTGTGTGGCTTGTCTGTTTATTTTACCATAACAAAGGGAGTTAATTCTGACAATAATTTCCCTTGCGATGGACGCAAATGAGAGGAATTGTTTTCTTTCGAGGGAACAAATTCCTTAGCATTGAACTTCTTTAAATTCAGGCAAGGTATTTATATGGAAATCTTCTACTCAATACGGCTATCTGAAGCATATGCAGAAGTGGGGCCTGTTTAACATAAGGCCTCCGATGCAACCAGAGTATTTGTTAGAGTCAAAACTAAAGAATGGTGTTCATCATATGACACCATAGAAAAAGGTTAACTTGTCTTCTTTGGGTACTCAGCACTCCCTCATTGCAAATGCGTCCGAACCAGCTATATGTAGATATAATAAATGAACTGTATTGATGTGATGTTATAAATCTGTTGTTAAATCTGGACCGTAAAATTTCTTTCCTGCTTAAATGTATCTGGTCATGTATATACAATAAGTCCATGTGAAAATGCTACTTTAGTAAAGGGTACTGCATTGTAACTGAAATAATACCAACATCCACCTTTTTATTTATTTGTAGGTCATTATAATTATATATAATAACTATTTTTGATGCAGTCTATCAGGTTATTTTACTTCTCTTCTTTCTTGTTCAGGCGATTATTAATCAGAAAGTTATTCATTATATCCCATCCGATTGAACCGATAATCAATTGGGAGAAATTTCACCGATTTCCATCACTAATTTTAACCTTGGGTTAATATATACAGTAACTATACATCACGTTATACATTCCCGTATATAATTACAGAAAAAGAGTAAAGATGTTCGGCGGTCTGATAGACAAACTCGACTCCGACAAATGGCAAGAAGTAGATGTTGGATCTAAAGTGGACTGTAAGCAAATCCTCAATTGCTATTATTTTTAACTTTCATATTTTGGGTTTGCCTTGAATATTGTACAATGACCATTTAGCTCAGAAGAAGTACATGTTACTGATGGAATATGTAAGTTATGTGTGTGATATATTAGACCGAATATATAGCACGAGCATGGCGAATACTTGCCGTCAGTGAAATTCACGAGTACGGCACAAAATAGAATATGTCACATGATTAAACTGGGAACGTCGCATGAAATCATTCAACAAATACGTTTAAGCATTTATTTTATTTTTGAACAAAGTTGTTATTAATGATCTTATTTTTTCTTGCTTCTAATGCCATTGGAATCTTAAAGTCATATCATAATATATTATATGTCATTTTATTTGTTATGGCAACCGAAATAAAAATCTTTAAAAAGTTTCCCCAAAAGAAAAACAGCTTTGATATTTTGATTATAGGATCATACATCTTCAAATTAGGACATTTAGAGTTCATCATGATTCTGTCCTAGGCCAAACACTTTTAAATAGATTTTATTATCTCATTATTTTATTATTTCATATCAAAAATATAATGCCTGGAGGTGTGTTTTAAAGTGCAGCATTGTAATAACATTTGATTCTTAACCACTTTTCAAATGATGTCCCCTTTTGTAAAATTGGTATTGTCCGAGCCATTTTTTTCAATTCTTAATATAAAAACAGTAACCTAACACATTGTTGGCTGTGTCGGCGGCGGCGGCGGCGGCGGGCTCCCCTTAGACTCAGTCACTATAGGTTGGATTGCTTAACTTGGTATTCATGCTTCTTTCAAAGACCCGAAGTGCAGTGCACAAGAAACGTTTTCCTTCTTAATTTTGATTTATTGCCCTTTGTTAATTTTCATAATCTATTTTTGTCCGGGCCATTTCTCCTAACTTATAAAAGCTATGGACTTGAAACTTCATAGGATGATGTATCTCATTGAGAAGAATTGCAGTGCACAAGAACTTGTGCTCTGCAATTCATGACGTTTGAGCTATTGCCCTTTGTTAATTTCGGCGTCCCCTTCGGATTGTCTGGAGCATAACTCTGCACGTCTTATTTTTTAGTTATTGCCCTTTGTTAATAATCATACTTTATTTCTGTCCGGGCCATTTCTCCTAATCTATTAAAGCTATGCACTTGAAACTTCATAGGATGATAGATCTCATTGAGAAGAAGTGCAATTCATAAAAATCGGTACTATGTCCTACATGATTTTTGAGTTATTGCCCTTTGTTAATTTTCATACTTAATTTGTGTCCGTGCCAATTCCCCTACATTTTTTAAGCTATTGACTTGAAACTTCATAGGATAATGGATCTCATTGAGAAGAAATGCTGCGCACTCTGCACTTTATGATTTTTAGTTATTGCCCTTTGTTAATTTTTATACTTAATTTGCTTGTCCAGAGCATAACTTGATCAGTATATTTCGATAAGTTCGATTAACTACAAATTTGGTATACAATCTTTTTTTATCGACCTGAAGTGCAGTGCACAAGAATCCATCACAAAGTGCTCAATTTGATTTGTCAGTGTAAAACTTTTCCATGGGATTTTTATTTTTGATAATATAACAGTTTTATTGATCCTGACGTCACATTGTTACATGTTATTCATGTTTTTGTTTCCTTTTAGCGGAATGGACTGAGTACCGTGTTAATATTCACCATAAACCAGTAAATGACACAGAATTCGTCTATATGATTGCCGTCGATGAGGGAGAGGCTAAAACAGTTAGCATTAAAGACTGCCAGAAAAAGACAGATCCTTTGAAAGAAATCGGTACAATAGAAATAAAATTAAATGAAAAACTTGAAATTGTTGGCCTGGATTTAAATGGAGACGTTGTTGTGAGAAAGTGAGCCATACTGTTTCGTGTGTTCCTGTATTTGAGAAAATATTTCTACTTGAGTTCACATCTTGCAATTAACCTTGTTAAATATATTGCTTTACTGTTTTATTACTGGGTGACATATTCAAGGTTTTATTTGTCCCTCCTTTTGTAAGATGAACGTATATTATATAACTACAGTTTAAACGCCAGCTACACTAATATACTCGTGCGCCCGTGTCGAAAAAATATATTCCTTCTTTTTTCATATAATCATTAATTTTCATGTAATATAATGTTTTTCCTTTAGTGTTAAGTATCCCTTTAAGTAACCAAACTAAACACACCAATACATGACATTTATATTAAAATGAGTTTTTCATCCGCTTGAAGCATGATTAAATTACTTTTCATTGTGACATATTTACTTCTGATCTTCTGTTATTATGTTATTTTCAAAATGTTAAGACTGTCTCATTTTATCACAAACATCTGCACTATTGCTCAATTTAAAAGAAGTATAGTATATCAGAATAATGTATCAATCATTTATAAAACAATTCCTTATCAAAAACAAGAGACTTGTGTATTTCAGTAAACAAATGGTATTATTATGAAGACATTTTGCATGTATTTTAAAATGATTTCTTTACTGAATAACATTAGCAGAAATTATACAAATTAAAGTGAGGGTGCAATGTTTATGTCGAGAGTCACATGAATATAATTGATGTTATGCTATTGTGTACAAGTGTAATATTCTGTTGAATGCTTGCTTATTTTAATCTGCTTTATATCTATCATATATATATATAACATGTTTTCAAAATGTTTGATTTAATCACAATATAACACATTCATATTTCTTATAATGCGTTTTGTTTTCTTTTAATACATGTGTTGTTTATATAAGGAGAATATTATGCAATTATTGACTAGTGAGCCATTGAATATGATGTGATATTCACCGGCAATTGACATATTGACCGAGGCGATAGCCGAGGTCAATATGACTTTCTGCCGGTGAATATCACATCATATTCAATGGCTCACTAGTCAATAATTGTTTTATTATATGCATAGGCTATGAATTAAAAAAAAATCACAAAAAGTACAACCTTAAATACATGTACAAATTTGCCTCGTTGAAGCGCGGGAAAAAGACGCACGTGTTAGTCGTGCACGCTGCGCATACAAAAATAATTCAAGTTTATACTCGTCATTGCGGTGTTGCCTTTAAGTATAATAGTAAAGTAATATTATATTTTAATCGAGAAACATGCTTTAAAGAACAAAAAGCAACAATTATTTTTTAAATAACACACGTGATTAACAGTCTACGGTGTATGATGTCTCAATCTATTTTTAGACTGGGAAAATTCAATTCAGCCAGTGAATATGATACTACACCCATTGAATATGATTTTATAAAAAGTTCTATTGACTACTGTTTGGACCAATGAGATTGCAGCAATATTTAGATCATATAATAATAGAATTTATCATTTGAGCATTAATTTATGACGATATTAAAGATATACTATGCTCAAATTTGATGTCAGAAAATATTGATAATTGCTACAGTCTCTTTGTAAATATGAAATAAACATTTTTTGACTTCACACAAAGTTAATATGTCATGTTTAAAACTCTACACACATAGGTCGTCACAATATGAATATATAGTGTCGTTAAAAAAACTGGCAGTTTTTTAAGAAAAGACCAATTTTACTTATCGTGTATTAGAGAACGTGGCTTCCAATATACTGTAGTTTATTATTTATTTTTTAGTTAAATTATACATATTCAGTAAGAATTTCATAGGTTTTAATAAATTTCTCCGATTAAAATATTTTACTCAAAGATGAGCATAGTATATCTTTAAACCTACCACTGTCCGGTTATATATATGTAAAAAAACATATATCTGCAAAATATGTTTTATATTGATTTTTAAAAGATGTCAGAGAATTAGAAGAACGGATACTATATAGTATTCTGTTAAATTTTTTTGCACCATTGCACAAAAATAAAAGTTTTTTTCCCATAGTTTGTGCGGTGTTTAGGTATTACTATGTCTTTATGTGATGCTGATCTTAAATTGTGAATTTCATTGCTGGAAAAAGTCAAAATTGCAGATATATTATTATAGATTTTTACAACAATGAAATTCACAATTTAAGATTATAAGGGGCTTGGTTATTGCAAGTTTATAAATAAGAGGAGCGGTATAAAAATCACATCGTAAGTATCAGACATAATAACAAACCAAGAAAGAATTATATGTGGAAGTTGTTATATATGATCCGATATATTTATATAGTAGATAATAAAATGTTCTAGAACATTATTTTTCATCATATACATGTTCATAACTTAATCACTTAGAACTTTATCTACATTTTTTTCAAACAATATTTTAAAAGAATATACAAATTATACATTCCCTTGTGGTTTTATCAATATTTGAAATTTGAAAAATGCGTTCATTGTAAATAAATCCTCAATTCCAGGACAAAGTATTATTCACCTTATTAAACTTGAAGATAGTTCATTACAATAATTACTTTTTGTTTGTACATAAAACCATGCATTTTGTTGTATATGAATTGATTAGCTTATTATTTAAAATTCATCGTCTACCTGGCATCCAAATTCAGTTTGAAATTACTTTTCACTTCATTTAATTTCATGATCAGATACAGATATGGACAGAGTATAGATCTATATTGTTTGTTGTACCTAATGCAATATCATTAATATATATAGGAAACATTGTCGCAAAATACGCCCGTCACAAAAGCTTTTGACAGAGATGTTGGCATTATAAATTAAAATATACATATAAGAGATAAGCATTGGGCAATATCCGGAAAATATATGGATATTTTATCATCTCAAGTGACCTTGACCTTACACATATTAAACTAAATTACATGTGTCACACTTGTAGTCGTGATAGTTATCATTTGTGTTTCAATCCATAAAAATGATGACCAAATGGTCCCCGTATACAAACTTTAAGCTCTCTATGTGACCTTGACTTTGGTAGCAGGGACCTGGATTGTGTACATGATAAGCCTCAAAATGGCGAACATTTGTTTCAAGTTGAATGTAGAAGTAACACCTAAGTGTTACCTTAACCTTTAACCTAGAGACCTGGCTCATGCACGTGACACTGATTCTCATAGTGATGAACATTTCTATGAAGTTTCATAAGAATCCCACCATGGGTGGAGGACAAAATGCTCTGGACAAAATTTCTATATTTTATCATTTTTAGTGACCTTGACCTTGCAATTAACCTAAACCTACATGTTTCACACCAGTAGTTATGATAATGACCATTTGTGTTTCAATCCCTCAATAAATGATTACTAAATGGTCCGAATACACATTTTCATAGTTTTATTTAAACTTAACCTCTATCTGATATCTGATCTTGGCTACATGGACCTAAATATTATAAGTGACACACCGCCTTACAATGGTGAACATGTGTGCCAAATTACCGGTATATTGAAATCCCTCTATGAATGTAGAAGTTTTGCCCTGGACAAGTGTTTTTCAATGACCTCTAAGAGTGACTTTACCCTTTGACCAAGAGACCTATGTATGCGCATGACACTGCTTCTTATAATGGTGAACAATATTATGAAGTTTCATTAGAATCCCTCCATATGTGTAGAAGATATGCTCTGGACAAAATCTCAAAGTATTCATGATAATGACCATTTGTATTTCAATCCCACAATAAATGACGACTTAATGGACCGAATACACATTGTAATATTTTTATCTGAACTTCGACCCCTAATTTCAACATTGACCTTGGCCACAGGGACCTAAATTTTGCACGAGACACTCCGCCTCACAATGGTGAACATTTGTGCATAGTTATATTGAATCTATGCATGTATAAGTGAATGATAATGACCTTTGACCTTGAGACCTGGTTCATGTGCACGACACAGCCTCTCATAGTGGTCAACATTTCTATAAAGTTTCATTTAAATTCCTACATGCGTGTAGGAGATATGCTCCGGACAAAAATTGGACGCCGCCCGCCCGTAAGTGGGGGACTATAATAAAATGGGCATATTAAAATAAACAGCGCCAAGAATAGAACCTTCAAGAATTCCTTAAAAATATACTCGCCAGAGGTTGCCACCGTGGCATAATATAATTATACTCAATTTGTTCTGAAACCTAGATTCATTCAATATTACATCTACGTTTCATTTAATATGGACTTTTTAGCTGGTGAAAATGATGTGATGTACTGAAATAAAAACGAGATGATAGCATATCAAATTATTCACAAACTGAAAAACCAATATCTGTTTAATTATATAATTTGTAAATAATATTTGACGAATTAAGTAAGATGCAAACCCACCTTTCATCATCTTCAATAAAGCGATGGATAATGGTTTTGCTGGTTATAATTGGCAGATCAGGGTCGGACTTAAAAGATATGCTTGTCTTCTCGATATTACAAGCCATTTTATCAATTGTCAAAATGCGCTTGACGTGAAAGTAAAAAATTTTCTCTTCATTCTTTTGGGTTTTGTTTTAGGACAATGTTCTTAAATTTAGCTGAGCTTTTAAACCTTTCATTTTTTATTATTTGGTACATATCTCTTTCAGGGCATTATCAGTCTATCAAGCATCTGTTGCGTGTAAACTTCCAGCGGATTCATTCGCTCAGCTTCACGAATAGACACTTCAACCCTTTTTGAATTTTCTGATCGCAGATCAGGAAATACAAAGCTGACATTCAATCTCTGACACAGCTGTTCGCGACAAACCTAACAACAAGTAGTTAGTACTAAAATTTTAAGAAAGGTAAAATCACGCAAGATCCAAGTTATATTTTACATGTTATGTGCGGTTTATACGGTGGCACAAAGTGGCACAAAATGTGTGTGTTTTTACTTATCTCGTGGCCACGAGATACTATGTCGTGGCCACAAGTTACTAAGTCGTGGCCACGAGTTACTGTGTTAGTAATGCAGTAAAAATATAATGATAAAATACTGCAAAATAGGTTGTAAACCTACGGTGGCACAAAGGTGACATGTGTGTGTTTTTATTTATCTCGTGGCCACGAGATACTATGTCGTGGCCACGAGATAGCTAAGTCGTGGCCACGAGATAGCTAAGTCGTGGCCACGGGATAATAAACCAATCAGAATACTATAATATATTATGATTTTTTTAAAACTTAATAACTTACTTTTACATGCAACATTAATCTTTGAAAATACTGAAGATATTCACTTTGAACACGTCTTTAGGATCATATTAGAAAGACACCTTCCAAGGCCCATCAGACATTAATTTTGACTATAGCCTTTTGTTGTGACAATTTTGTGATCGAATTGGTCAGTTTGTACGTACTACGGCCTGTTAACATTGTTTATACGATAACATGAGAAGGAATAAGTCCTGGTTTATTTTACGGAATGAGAATGGGCGACAGCAACTTCTCGAGCCTTTTAGTCGGTCATAATAAAAGCCGATCATTCCGATCGGTATGAGGGTGCTTGATTAAAAAAATGTCTCGATATGTACAATGAATAGCGAACTGGAGAATTTCGCAATGCATGAAATAACCTTTTCCGTCTCTTCGGTTTTTTTATCATTTTGTAGTACACAGTGGGTTATTATGTTATGTTAAAATAGAATGATGAGTTGATGACCTAAACATTCCGAAAATCTATTTATAGAGGGATGCACTGCTATCGGTAATTCCTCTATTTGACCGGGATTTACTAGTGACCGGCGAATAGTATCACACGTTTATTGGCCGGTCTCTCCCGGTTTTGGAGTAGATGTTTGATATCGTTACAGAACAGAACAAATATTT